ACAGAAATGTTGAATACAAGTCTAAAAGAGGTTATAATTTCATTGTACCTGTCACTGGTTAGGCCACATTTGGAATATTGTGTTCAGTCTTGGGCTCCTTAACTTAAGAAGGACATTGAATTGTTGAAAAGGGTTCAGAAAAGGGTTATTAGAATGGTGCCTGGGATGGAAGGGCTGTCATACGACGAGAGGCTGAAATCTCTCAAATTATTTTCTCTTGAAAAAAGAAGAGTTAGGGGGGGATCTGATTAATATTGTAAAGGGAATTGATAGTGTTGACGTATCATTTTTCATATTTTACAATGATAATAGTAGGATTAGGAGACACAAGTATAAATTTTGGCAAGGTAGGAGTCATCTTCAATTAAGACAGTTTTATTTTTCTAGCAGGGTGGTTGGCCTTTGAAATGGGTTGCTTTGAAATGTTGTAAGAGGAAATAAATTTAAGTGAGTTTAAGAAAAAGCTTGATAAATATATGAATGAAAAGGACTGGGTTTAAATTTTTTTAATCATTTTAATTTAGTTTTGAGGATGGAACAATAGGTCCCATGTTGTCCCAAAATATTATGTTATGTTTTTTTGTATCATTAGCCACGTTGTACACCTTAGAAGATAATTAAAGCATTATCAAAATTATTAATATAATTTCGATATAAGTGAAATTGATTGTTGTAAACAGTTAATTCTTATTAACAAAAGAAGAAAGCGATTGTTTCACTTAATAACACATAACTGGAACTTTGGAAAATCTCGAAAACGTTGTAAAGTGTGTTTAACGAGATATATGATTATCGGATTATAATTTTTTTAAATAGAAATATTCATGATAAATGTGCATAAATAAAGAAGAGTTCAAATACTGATAATATATATATATATATATACAGTTATGAAAACGACAGTGAATAAACAAGAGTAAAAATAATTGTGGGCCAAAATGTACTAAAAGCATGTTCTTGTAGAACATTTAAGACTTCTATTTCTAATTTCTATTTGCCCCCCAGTGGCACAGCGGTATGTCTGCGGACTTACAACGCTAGAATCCGGGTTGGGCAGAGCACAGATAGCCCATTGTGTTACTTTGTGCTTAATTACAAACAAACAAACAAAATTTCTATTTTTTCTATTATTTCTGGAACCATATACAAAAAACAATTACAAAAAAAACACATCAAATACTTGGGGGTTCTTTCAAATTATCTGTCGAAAATAATTCAACGTCCAGTCCTCATAACAATAACAAATTAGTTTTATTTATTCCTTAGCGTTTCTTCACAGATTTGTAGTTTCTGAAACTAGTTATAGGCCTATGTTAGAATTAATGTTCAAGCCTCTCTAACAATACTGGGAAAGGAAAATCAATTTAACTATACAAAGAAAGTAGCTCAATAAGCGCGAAAGCAAACACAGATCCAAATACATCACGAAAACATGCTGTCTGATTGACTCTCCATCTTAGAAACTCTTAAAACTGCACAATTATTTATATGTATATATATAAAGTCTAGTTTCGAATATACGAGAAAAAAAAATCTGACGTGAGCTTAGAATTTTCTAGGCCTACTTAACGTCACCTTTAAGATTCACAGCACCTTCTAGCTAACAAAAAAATATGACATTAAGAATACATGGCTCATAACAATACTGTATGAAATACGAAACAATACGAGAAACTCAGCTAGTGATGAACGCAGATAAGCTCTAAATCGTGATAGCAGATTAAATTGGTTAAGTATTTTTTATGAAAATTGTTTATTGATTTATGCTACTAGTGAAATTCATTATTGTAAAACTGACGACAAAAAATAATTAGTAGCGAGATTTAAGATCGAATATAAAAATGATGTTGTTTTTTTAAATCATGTTGTACGAAAGTGAATACATGCATATGCTTTGCAATAATCAAATACATATTAAAATCAAATATAACCAATTTAATTGTTAAAACTGTCAACAAGGCATTAATTTATGGTGTTATGATCTGCTGAATAATCCATTAGTTTATCACTTTTTATAAACGCTGTATTAAATTAAACCCGACTATTATTTTATTCTCCTTCAATTCGAGGAATATTAAACTTTAAAAAGAGATAAGTTACCATGAATGCAGTAGACAATTTTACATCTCTACCAGCGAAAACCAACGACGTTCATAACATTTTCTTCAAGCTAATAATATCAAGTTAACATAAAAAGCAAGAACTAAACCATGTAGCTGTAAAAAAAACCAGAGAAATTTCCACGTGGTCAATAATGGAAATCTGTAAACAATTTGTAATCATCATCGATAATATGATAAATATTGTTCTAACTGTTCTACAGATAAAATAAGTATTAAACATATCCGACATTGAAAGAAATTAAGGAGATATGAAGATTTTACAGAGAAACAGTAAATTGCTAGATTTTTAAAATTATGTTTCAGTTTACAAATATCATCACTAAACGAATGGCTCAATAACTATTCAACGAACAAAACAATGACGTCTGTTGATTTTTTTAACAGATTATTGGTAATTAAAGAAGTGCATAAATATAAAATAACACATATACATAGATATATAATAAAATCAGTTACATATATTATTGTTAAAATGAGGTAATTTTCTCAACAGATTTTCGAGCAGATAAGAACGGATAACCCAACCTGTTTATCCAGAGTAATTCCCATTGCTGGGGACATCACCCTACCAGACCTGGGGATCAACAACGCCGATCGAGCGACATTGATAGAGAATGTGTCTATTGTCTTTCATTCGGCTGCTACTGTTCGGTTTGAAGAACCGTTAAAGTAAGTTTTTTGTTTTGTCTTTACTTCAAGTCTAGTTTTGTTTTAATTTTTGAATAAGTATTATACTTTCAGCCTGTAAATTATTAGAGCAATGCCTTCATATTGTCATGTAAGCTTTTTTGCTAATTTATGTCAGTATGTGCATTATCAAAATTAATTTTATTTTCACTGGTGCTATTAGACTTAGATTTGATCACTATGTTTAGAAAAATGAGGTTTGAAGTACGAAGTTACTTTTAATTTAACAGTCTATATAATAAAAGCCACTCTCTGCTCGTAACGCTACCTTTGTCGGTAACGTTCGGATTTCTGTTGGTAACGTTCAAATTGGTTCAGTGTTTATCTGAAGCGAAAGTATCAAATACAAGTCAAGTGGGGGTTTGTATAACTTTTTAATTGTTAATACATTATGTTTAGAGCAATATATTGATATTACAATAACAAGGAAACAACAATAACATGATAGTTTACACTAGGAATTTGAATTATTTGTTAACATTTGATTACAAAGAGTTGGTGTTAGAGTATTTATAGCTCTCGACTATCATGTGAAAATCTCGCTTTGAAATCCCAGTCGAGTAAGGATATTGATATTTTTATATATTTCTATCCTATTTACAATAATATCTCAGAGTATTCCGGAAAATAGAAATATAATTATAGATTAAATCATGGATAGTATCATATTACATAAAAAACACCAATGACTGTATGTGTCAAACACAACTTAAATATATTTTCAGCCCAATTGATGGCGTTACATTATTATTGATTTTTCACCTTAGGTACGCAATTTTTAAATTTTTAATCAGTAATTTTATAATAATTTTGTATGAAGAGTTATGCATGTACCTTCGTGCATTTGCTCTTTACCATAAAAGCTCATTATCTTTGCCTTAACAATTAATAATTCGTAGGGACAGACATATGACCATTTAGGAATATTTCTTCGAGAACCAAGCAGATTTTAATATAACAATAAAATAAACATAAGTTAAAATTATAATCAAAAACCACTTATAAGATTGTTTGTTTGTTTGTGTGGAGTTAAGTACAAAGCTACACAAGGGCTATCTGTTCTCTGCCCAACACGGGTATCGAAACCCGGTATCTAGCGTTGTAAATCCGCGGACATACCGCTGTGCCACTTATAGGAAATGACCAAATATACACAAAAATTGTTATTTTCGTGAAATACTAGAAGAGAGATAGACATTCTTTATACATATATTGTTACTACAATATAATTAATTTTAAGAACAAATCTTCATAAAACATATTTTTAGACTTAATTTTCAGAAGGAATATTATTCAGCATTTACTCTCATGAGATGGCGTTCAGCTAGTTCTTTATAAAGATGCTATCTAAATAAGCCACTATCAATTAAATTAATGTCTGAAGGCACTTTGTATTCCAATCCAGTTCCAATACATTTCATTAGAATTGTTAATTATTATTGTATGCCTATTGCAGACTAATGGATGTGTCACGGGAAAAAACACAGCGTTTTAAGTTAGTTATCATGTTGTTCACGCAATTATTTTAACCCTTGGTTTAGGTTTAAGCTGATAATGCATTTGAATAGGAATTCGCTTTCCATTGCATCAAAAACTATCTGTGTTACTAGGAGAGTTTTCACACTAAGAATTTAATCACAGAACAAAAATAAATACTAGATGTACTTCCGAAGGGTCCCCAAAAGTGTTCTATTTCAGCGTAAATAGAACTAAAATTAAGAGTAACAAATATTTTATTTTTTTGCTTTTAAAGCTCATATGTCATGCTGTGTTGTAGCCTACAAAATGCATAATCCTTCTCGTGATTCATGGCATGCGCACGTTTTACTTATGTCACGACAGTATAAATTACAACGTTAAGCGTCCCTTATGCGACGCCATTTTAGTGTCTACTGACTGACTGACAGACAACACAATACTGTATTGTTGTGTGGTGTGAGTGGTTAAAACAGTTGACCCCCTCTGATTGTTTCGAACATATAATGTAATTTCTCCGAAAGATTAATTAAGATAATCAATTCACAAATGCTTTTGCAAATTTAATACTAACGTATTCAATATTTTCTCAGGAAAGCTGTAGATATGAACATTTTAGGAACAAGACGGATTATTCAGCTTTGTCACAAGATGCCGCTGTTAGAGGTATGAACTTATCTTTTTTTCCCCCCATTGGAATTTGGAAAAGTTATAATCTTAAGTCAGTTGAAAATAATTTATATTGTATTAAATATAGTTTGTTTATTTTTAGGCACTTATCCATGTGTCTACGGCATATTGCAACTGTAATCAAAAGGAAATCGACGAAATTGTCTACCCAGCTCCTGTTGACCCCCAGAAACTAATAGACACTGTTACGTACGTAGTTTGTTTAATCACCCTCCAAGTAGTATATATAAAATTATTGCAAAAGTTATAATTAGTCTATTTTTTTCACCCAAAATAAGATATACGTTTACTCGAGCTGGTCTGCTGTGACACTTTTCGCTACTAATATACCGAAAGTTTTAGTTGAGTATAAACAAACTGTAGGTACATACGACGAAAAATGTTGAAGCATCGTAAGCAAAATGTGATTTTAAAAACGAAGTTTATAGGAATGATAACAATAATGCACTCGGGTATAAATACTGTATTCAATTAGTGATACTTTTCTAATGCTTTGATTAGTTTTGAGTATTAAAACACCACCGTATGATAAGTTTTGGTCGCGTCAAAGATTAAACACAAGTAAAAATAAATAGGTTCTATGTATAACAGATGTCAAAGTAATTCAAGCTATTCGTCAGGCCATATTCATTCTGACGAAATCAATACATTATTTCTTATGAAAATATATCGTCCAATAAACAGCCTGAGATGTGGAAATAGGTAGTTAGTTTCTATGAAACGTTATTGAATGAATTACTTATGATTTTCATTCTAATGATTTAGTTTTATTTATTTATAAATATTAGAGTAATACTAATTTAGTGTTATGCACGTTTACATTTTAATCACGTCTAACTGTTATTTAACTGTATAAGTTTATCACGCATGCACCCTCAGATACTAGTGTGAATTGTACGTAAAATAATCCTTTAAATTACCACCAGATGGAGATTAAGAAATAACATATTGTTCAATGCTTAAGATGCTACCAAGTAGCATTTAAGAACTTTGTAGAATTGACTTCTTTGGTGGGTTATAATGTTTTTAAATCGAATAAATGTCCTGTTTTTAGTGTATGATTTTGTAGGTTATAGAATAAACTAGAGGAAAATTTGTGTTAGACGTATTTAAGTAGGTTAGCTCTGAAAAGGGTCTGCACATTGTTCAAGTTCATGTTTTGTTCCCTACACTGTTCCAAGTACAGTTGGATGAATGAATCTCTGGTTGATGACATCACACCTCAATTGCTTGGCGATAAACCTAACACCTATACGTTTACTAAAGCACTTGCAGAGACCCTTCTAGTGGAAGAATGTGGAAGTCTTCCTGTAGCAATAGTTCGACCTTCGATAGTAACAGGAGCCTGGAACGAACCACTAATTGTAAGTAAATTTCTGGAAAAAAAAAATCTGTACTTCTTTTCACTTGAAACTGGGCAGAGCGCTTCTCAGATTTTATGGTTAGAGTCCTGGTACCCCCACAAAATAAATAAATCGCGCTTCGCAATCTAGGGTCGTGGGTGCTTATAAAAGAGATGATCAAATCCCACTATTCGGTCTAATACAAGATTGACAGTGGAAGATATGCTTAGTCATAGTTATAATTTCTATGAGGAAAACTCGTGCTTCTCGTGCGTATTTTGTATTTGAATGAGCAAGGTTTATAAAATATAAAGGCAGTATTATGTATTTAAGGTAATTAAAACAGTTAAGTGCTCTGTCTAGACTTCACGTGCGCGGTTAGGTAGGTAGAGTTCTGAACGAACCTGGTGGCCGTACGTGGCGTCTCAGTGCCTGCGTGGTTAAGCCTAAGTGGGTTAAATATATTCGAAAACACGTGATACGCATCAAACACGTTCAGTACAGAAGGCTCTTTGTGCCAAGTGGTCTGATTTAAAATGACAAACCGGTCGACTTATCTAGTAAGAGACACCAGATCTAGTTAATCTTAATTGTGTAATGCACAAAAACAGTAACTGATCAATTGTTTCATTGGGAGCAAAAAATCACAATTGTATAAGATATAAAGAAATGTGAAGTAAGAAGTACACATAATACCACATGCTCAGTAGAGTTTGGGGTGTTAAATACTGTTGCGTCAGCGAGATCACGTGACTATTCTCACGCCACCTGCTTTCTATAACTATCCTGTACCTTGGCGAATGCTCTAGCATTTACTAGATATAGGGTATATAAAAAG